TTCTGAAGATATTATGAAAATTAAATAAACCCAACGTAGATAGAAGATATATATATATATATATATATATATATATATATATATATATTCCATAATACGTATATGAATAATAGATCGAGAGCCAGCGACGCAATGAGGTAGGATTAATTCCCAAATCTAGTACTTCAGTCAATGGAGCGTTTTGGATCTGAATTTTTTTACTGTGCTCCAATTTACATGAAATTTTGGAATTAGGTTTATCTTACCTTCAAGTTCAAAAGTGAAAACAATTCGGGTTCTGCCACCATCCCCCGAGGAGATGACATCCCTTCTCAATTGTGTAATTTCATTTTTCCAAAATAACGTCGGAAATCGATAGAAGAACTAATTATAAGAAATCAATGTCTTTTAATTTTTTTCAAAAAAACTAATACTTTTCAAGTTACTGGGCACTAAAAATTCATATATTTTTGACATTTTTCTTCGTTTTTTTTGCAAATATCTCCTAAGATATACATTTTAACGAAAATCATGTAATGAACAAAATCATGTCAATAAAAATCTTAATAAATCGGTGTTTTATAAAATGTTCTAGGAATAATAACCACAAAATTTTGTATTATTATATTGATCACAATAATACAAAATTATTATTATGATTATATATTAAAATTCAGAGGTTATACCCTTTTTTCTTCTCCGTTTACTGCACTAAAGGAATAACTGCATCCAATGACAAGAGTACATTAAAAACGTATTTTGGATTATTTTACTAAAAATAAATTGCATCATTACAAAATTTCCCAGTTTAGAGACTAACGAAGAAGTTTATCCACGAAGTTTAACAGATCAAAAAAAAAATATTAATTTATACTATACTATAATAATCTTCTAGGATGTTCCATCAATCTTAAGATAGATCATTGAGAAATTTGTTTTTAGTTCTTAAGATGTAGAGTACATTTGGATGATAAAATAAAATGACAAAGAATTATCCAAATTCTTGGAAAATTGAGCCCAAATTTTAATCCAGAACTCACATGTGGTCTTGACTATATATGCCAAAAATAAAGAAAACATCAAATAACCCTGTTCAAATATTAGGTTGTCAAATATCTCCCTTCCGCCTTTTTGTATGTAACCAAGAGCAAAAAAGCGGAAGGGAGATATTTGACAACCTAATATTTTAGGAATGAAACTCGGCCATAAATTGCATAAACCATAAACTAAAAATAAAGGGCATCATTGCAAAATTTTCCTGTTTAGAAAGTTTAGGATGACTCAATTATACTACACTTTTTATAGTAAAGCCATATACAATATTGGTAAATGTACATAGGAAGTGAAAAAATCTTGTATATTTCTATGGATTTATAAAAAAAATCAATATGGAGTACATAAGGAGTTCATGGCTAAGTCTAAGCAAGGGGTCCACGACACAAAATAGTTTGGGAACCTATGGTGTATACCAAGTAGGTGTCAGGCTTTAGAAAATTTTAAACACCATTAAATAAAGTCAATTTCTATCTATTATATTATGTGTCATCAAATATCCCTGTGCTCAGATATTTTAGGAATGAAACTTGGCCATTGGACTATTTTCTGTCGTTGGCAGTCTATTTAAAAAAAATACTAACCAGTGGTTCTAACGTCATTTTGAGTACAAAATCTATATACAATTAAAGCAAATGAATGTGAATTCTTGCAATATATCAAAAATTTCTTTGCTAAAAATAAAGAATTGAGCTGGACTTAGCTGACTAGACTATTATATTATGGTTGACTAGCCATCTATTAAGATATTCTTTAAATCTGACCATTTAAGTACAAAGATGGACAAGGATAAAATACAAAATTAAATATAGTCAAGAACCGAGTCAAGTTCGATGAAGTATCATTGGAGTATTCTGGATAAAAGCCAAATCTACTCCATGAGCCTCATGTGACAATAAATTCAAAAAATGCTAACTAAAGAGCAAAATTCAATAATTCCATGAAAAACTTCTATGGCCAGAAATGCAACTCGATTTTTGGAATATTGTCCAGTCGTTGGATTGCTATCTAAAAAGGTAGTTTAGTTAGTCTGTACATTTTATGGCAAAATCTCCTCCAGAATCTGTTAATAGATGTAAATAATGAGAGTCAAGGTTGTAAATTCCCTTGTTTCAGAAATATAAAAAAAACTAGCTGAGTTTTAGACATATATCTAATAAGATCTGATTTTCCGGTAAATTTGAGCACAAAATCTTCTCCAAAATAATCTGGAAATAAGCACCGGTAATACAAATGAAGGATGACAATAAATATCACTTCGGATTTTAAAATATGAACACTAATTTTACTCTGTACATTTGAGTAAAAAGAAATCTTCTTTAAAAAAATGATTAAAATAAAAAAACAAATGAGGATCAAGAATAAAACAGGCAAGAGCCACATAACATATTTGTTGATTTCGAAATACAATTCGACTTTCTAATTATTTTCTGTACATTAAAGTATTAAAGATTTACCTAAGGATTTGATTTTGGAATTCCAGTACAATTCCAAAATTGAAATGGCTAACAGATGGTTATCGTAGGCCCAAAAAAATTTAAGAATAGATTTATAAATAAGGACCTTGTCGAGTAGAAGGTCAACAATTTTGATTTGAAGACCCGACACAAGCAAGAAGATGAATGTCTAGAAAAAAATTCTGGATCATTAGATTTTTTTCTTAGAATAGGTGTAAATTAGGTCCTTGTAAGAGATCAACACTTTTGATTTATAAAAAAACATGAAATATAGCTAAATACAAAACAATAATGCAATTTTCGGAGTATTTTCGGTCGTTGGCTCCCAATCTACAAATAAATTCTATCCTCTCTCAGTATGTTTGAGTAGAAATGAGTCACATACGACCCGACAATAAATAAAAATGATGATATCGACTCGTTTTTGTGTGAATCACTACGTACATACAAATCGATTGCTTATTTTAATTTCAAAGCTTGCAAAATATAATTGAATACTACATGCTAATTGCTCATTAAATAAAATGCCTAAGAAAAAATAGTATAAAACAAATAAAAATAAAGGTTTCCTTAAATTTTATCAAGTTTTACCCTGCCAAACCCAAAGTTTAATATTTAAAATAATTATTTTAAATACTATCTCTTAACATTTCTCTTCCAAAACATACGTCAAAATTCTAGATAAAACACATGATTAATAACGTTATATGTACGTGCAAAAATTTCTAATCGCTCCGAATAAAATAACATTCGATGTTTATTATTATTTAAGCAAACGAACACACCGGCTAATTCTTATCAAGTTTTTTGCCACATTCCTTCTGATAGGAAAACACAGCCGGCGACAAATATTAAAGTCTATTCGCGTTTTTTTGCAATATGTGCAAAATATAAAAAAATATAAATAGTTAATAGAAATATGAAATAAATGTCGTTAAAATTATAAATAGCAAAAATATGCGTTGATGTAATTTTGTTTGAAAAATAAAACGTTTGAGGCGTACTAAAATTGCATGAGTCAATGTTTTGAGTATATTTTTAAAGTGCAAGTTGCGTGTGTTGTTTATTATTGAAATATAACTTTTAATCAGTTTGTAGAAAATTTAAAAATGACTTACAGCAACTCAAAATACTTAGAAATTGATGAAACATGATAAAATGGAATAAATGACTCTGTTGTGCATTTATTTACTATATGTCTTGTAACTTTTGAACCGTTTGACTGATGCTGATGCAATGTTTAGCAAATTTATTTAAAATTGAATAATATATACAACTGTCAAACCCAACCTTAAAATAATACAAATGTCACGCCTATTTGATTTATAAGTGCAACTGTGGAGCAGATCATATTTCACAATGCGTAATGGTATGCCCGAAAAGCTACCATCTACGACACTAAACACGTAACCGGTACAGCTAGTACAGCTATAACAATTTTAATACTATTTTAAGCCCATTTTATTCATAAGAGCAACCTTATTACCACAACATCAAGGTAACCCACAAGATAACATTTTGAACAAAATAAGTGTGTCCTTTACAAAATTAATTATTTTCGATTTGTGCATTTATTTACTGTATCTCTTGTTTGACTAGTGTAAATGCAATCTTCAGCAAATTTATTTTAAATTGTATAATCTACAATATTGTGAACTGTCAAATCCAACCTTAAAATAATACAAAATGTCACGCCTATTTGATTTATAAGAGCAACTGTGGAGCAGCTCAAATTTTACAATGCGTAATGTTATGCCCGAAAAGCTGCCACCTACGACACTAAACACGTAACCGGTACAGCTAGTACAGTTATAACAATTTCAGTTAGATTTCTTTTGCCATATGTGCAAAACTTGTTAAAAATAATAGTAAAAAAATCTTGTTAAAATTATAAATAGCAGTTGTTGTAATTTTGTATAAAAAATAAAACGTGTGAGACGTACTAAAATTGCATGAGTCAATGTTTTGAGTTTATTTTTAAAGTGCAAGGTGCGTTTGTTGTTTATTATTAATTCATAACTTTTAATCAGATTGTAGAAAATTTAATAATGACTTACAGCAACTCAGTGTACTTGGAAAATAATGAAACATGATACAATGAAATAAATGACTCATATGTGCATTTATTTACTTTTCTACTTGTAACTTTTGAACCGTTTGACTAATGCTAATGCAATGTTCAGCAAATTTGTTCAAAATTGCATAAACAACAATGTTGTCAACTGTCAAACCCAACCTTAAAATTATACAAACGTCACGCCTCTTTGATTTATAAGAGCAACTGTGGGACAGCACATATTTTACAGTGCGTATTGTTATGCCCGAAAAGCTGCCATCTACGACATTAAACGCGTAACCGGTACAGCTAGTACACTTATAATAATTTTAGTTCTATTTTTATTTATTCTAAAGAGCAACATTATCACCACAGTGTTGCCATATAAAAATAACGTAACCCAATATTTAATTACCAAGTGTGTCCTTTACATAAATATTTATTTTCCCACTGACCTCATAGTAACAGTTTGGTCGTTCAAAGGGTCTCCCATCGAAATGACTCTGACGAAATTATCTGGGAACATGCCAGTCCTTCCTGCAAGGGTTCCTTCCCACCATCCGCCTGGGGAACACTTTATCGAGTGCAAAATGTCGCCTTTTCTCAAATTCAACTCATCCGGTTCGACGGCGTTGTAATTGTATTCAACGACTGCAGTTACTAAAAAATAAAAAATAAATTATTAATATAAATCTAATTTATCAAATTAATTGTTTCGATTGTAATTCGATATGTATTGATACAAAATTACCAAAATTATAAAAAATATTGGAAGAATTTTGAATTATAACTAACGTTGAATGAAAGTTTGGGTAAAGTGAATTTTAGGTTATCATCAAAAATGTTTTGGCGCTACAGTTACATTTCTTTTCAAATGCTCTCTTTATTTTTACACTTAATATTTTATTTTTTATTAACTTCCCATAAGGTAGTTATAGTAATGGGCCGAAAATCAAAAATGAAAATTTTTGAATTTCTCGACGTTTTGAAGGTTTCTGAACATTTTGGCATACCTCAGAAAAAATGGATGTGTGTGTGTGTGTTTTGTATGTCCGCATTTTTCCATCCACGTTTTTGGGCGCACGGATCAACCGATTTAAATGATTCATTTACTATTCAATTCCTATTGATAGGGAGATGTGCTGATTAGTTTTTGACAAAGGCAGGTCCGGCCGTTACGGAGATACGTAACAAAGAGTGCAGAAAATACAAATCCAGTTTTTGAGAGAACGGAGCATCGGATTTAAATGATCTATAAACATGCAATTTGTAATGATTGGGAAAAGAACTCTACTGACAAACAAAATATTGCTTAAAACGTTTTGAGAGAAAAAGGGACTCCACTGACGAGCAAATTGAAATATTAGGACAAAAAGAACTCTACTGACGAGCAAATGAAAATTTGTAAGAAAAAAGGGACTCTACTGACGAGCAAATTGAAAATATTGTAAGAAAACGAAACTTTACTGACAAGCATAATGAAAATATTAAAAAAAAAGGACTCTACTGACGAGAAAATAAAAATATTGGGAAAAAAAGGGACTCTACTGACAAATAAAAATATTAGGAGAAAAGGATCCTACTGACGAGCAAATGAAAATATTAGGAAAAAGGGACTCTACTGACGAGCAAATTAAAATATTAGGACAAAATGGACTCTACTGACGAGCAACCTGAAGATTTGTAAAATGACAAATGAGTTTTAAAAAACTTTAAGAGAAAAGAAACTCTACTGACTAACGAATGAAATTTGGACCCGGAAAAAATTAGCAAAGACATATCCCGCCATTTCGAAGATACATAGCTAAATGTGCAAAAAATGTTTTTGAGTGAACTGAGCATCCGATTTGAATGATTCAAAAAACGTTCTGCTTGTATTGACAAAACAATTGCTTTTGAGGATAAAAAATTATTACATCTTTTTTTATTCTCCATAAAATATTTTTGTAATTTTGGATTAAAAATTCAAAAAATTCAAAAAATCACCCAGACTAAGCACAGTCCAAGCGCCACTCTGGTACAAATGTTCACCCAAGTGCGTTTATACGCACTTTTCCAATTTCGTGAAAAATGTGAAAATGCCGCCAAGCTAAGCACAGTATAAGTGAAAATGTCGCACAAAATTATTTGCAAATGAGTTTAGACTGTGACTATACGAGAGCACTTTTTCAATTTTGAGCAAATTGAAACTATTTTTATTTTTGAAATTGAATGCTAAATTAAATGACAATTGTTAATGTTCTGGAGATAAATTGATTTATTTATAATTTACATTTTATTTGCTCAGATATAACAAGATAGCAAAAATAATGAAAGTAACAGTAATAATATATTTGAGAACGTTTAAAATTTCTCGAATATTTCATTACGTAACGGGAAGTTACAGCAATTTGCCTTAAGGCACGATGCCATGCACCACTAGTTTTTCAAGAAGTTTCACTTAACTGTGATGTTTTATTATTCTGTTCTATTTTAACTTAAATTATTTTTGAATATGAGATAATGATTTTTGTAATTAGTAATACAATAAATCTATTATTTTCTTTCAAGATTTTCTCTCCTTTCATGTCATCAGTTCCAAAAATTTCACTCCCACAACGCGCACTTGTTTCGCGAAAATACTTATAATTATCTTAAGATTTAATTTTTTTAAACTTTTCTGCATCAACTAACCAACAACCAAGTGTGTAGAAGTATAGTAACAAACTATTTACTATTTATGAATAATTATTTCGATACAATGAAAACACGATTACGGTGCGTAAGTCGTGAGAAAAAATCGGAGGAGGAATTTCTTTCACGAACAAACTGACTCGGCAGCAAAACCGACACAAATCGGCGGCAAAAGTTGCATTTGCAATTGTTTTGCTTACAATAAACCGAGGGAAATAACAATAAATATCTTATATATAAAATTCTTCTGTAACGGGGTATAAAAGGTTAATCCTCCTAAACGATTATTCGGATTTTCATAAATCTTCCTGAAGTTTGTTAAGGAAATTTTCTAGGAATTTTTGGTTCATAGAAATATAGTTAGATTGTAGAAATGAATGGAAAAAATTGCAAAAAACCCGCTTATCATTGTTTGACTTTGAAAATATTTGAGGCATTGTTTGACATTAAACACAAACGAAGCCTATCATTTGCTAAACATTTCTATACACTTATAGGCTAAGACAATATTAAACTAGCTGTAAGTGGAATTCTATCTTAAGGCAATTAAGGCATCGTGCCTTAAGGCAAATTGCTGGAACTTCCCGTACCAAAAATTATTTTTTTAAAAACGATTAACATTTTTGAAAAAATTTTACTTCGAAAAAATTAGAGAGAAACTATAAATTTGACAAAAAATTACTTTTTTTGAAAAAAAATTTTTTTTTGAAAACAAAATTTTTTTGAAAAAAAAAATGTTTTTTTCATTTTGACATACTTTGGAAATTCTGAACTGTTTTTCAAAGCAATCGTACTGCTTTATCTGCATAGAGACAAAATGTCAAAGCGCGCAACTGCCGCGCCGCCGTCTAACGGATAAGCATTGGTACGGAACCCATACAAATGTAAAAAAAAATTATACTTATTGTTAAAATCTTTATAAAATATCTGATAATTTGATGTGCATATGTCTAATGATCATTTTTGACCGCCAAATGGCATTTTTTTTTACTTTTATCATTAGATCTCCGAAACCGCTAGACCTGCCTTCATGAAAATTTGATCAAATCTTCATCTTGTCAATACAAGTAAAATGTTTTTTGAATTATTCAAATCGGTTGATCCGTGTTCCCGAAATCGTCGACGAAAATTTGTATCCGCACATACATACACACACGCACATACATACATACACACACACATACACACACACACACACACACACACACACATACATCCATTTTTTCTAAGGTATGCCAAAATGTTCAGAAACCTCTGAAACGTAAAGATATATAAAAATTTTCATTTTCGATTTTTTTGCGATTACTATAACTTGCCCTACGGGAAGTTAAATATAATATATTTATGATTACAAATAAGAAAAATGTAATGCCTACATTATTATTGCCGAAAAGCAGCTGAGATGTGCCAAAAATTAAAATAATATAAGATTTACAGTCAACATGCGTCTGTCAGTGATCGCACATCAAACTTAGCCTATAATTCACTTCGACTGATTTTTATTTTTTAACTAATGCAGTCGTGTTTTGCCTTACTTTACTACAATACAAACAAAATCTACTTATTCAAAAAATTATTTAGAAGTTTCATTCTGTCAAAAATTCATATGTTTGGCATTGGATACGAAATATTCACTCAAGTCAATGGAGCGTTTTGTGTCTGATTTTTTTGACTGTGCTCCAATTTGTATGAATTTTTGGAATTAGGTTCATCTTACTCTCAAGTTTAAAAGTGAAAATAATTTAGGCTCCTTTGACATCAAATTACTGACTACTGAAAATTTGTTTCTTTTTGGCGCTTTTCATCGTTTTTTGCAAATATCTCCAAAAATATACATTTTAAGAAAAATCATGCCATGAACAAAATTATAACAATTAAAATCTTAATAAATCGGTGTTTTATAATGATAGATAAGAAAAAGCAAAGTCGATTTTTATTTCGTTCGAAATTTAATTGCAATAAAGACTGCAATTTCCAACATGTATATCTTATGCTATAAATCACAAAGACAAACGATGAATTTTTGTATGATAAATTAGAAAAATCGATGTATTAGTCGTGAATAAACAAAAAAATCATTCATTTATAGATCTACATCTACAGGTATGACTAAAAAATTGTATAACCCTTGGCATTAAAATAAATTGAGCTATTGAAAATAAATTTGTTCAATCATTTCATTTAAATCAGTTGTACATTTAAGATCACCTATGTAGGATGTATGTACATTTCGGTACAGGCTGTAGTGTAAAAAACATAATAAATTTTAACTAATTCATAAATATCAGTATAGGTTATTAAAAAAAAGGAACTTTTGAATTGTAGTCATGGGTACAGGACAAAATATGTCGGGTCATCTAGTATAGTTATAAATCTATTCAATTAATGAAATTTTAAACTGATATAAATAATATTGCAGTAGAAATATCTACTGTACTGTAATTCATAATTGACGCGAGTTGAGTTCAAGCAAAGTTATCTATATAAGTTCGAAGAATACAACTTGTAGGAATTGTTTATTTTGTAATTTGTACGAATTGTTTATTTGTAGGTTCATTTGATACCTATGATACGTTTCGGCTAACATGCTAGCCATCATTCAGCAAAAATAAATAGTTTAAAAACCAAAATTTTTCTGTAATGGGGTATGAAAGGTTAATCCTTCTAAACGATTATTCGGATTTTCATAAATCTTCCTGAAGTTTGTTAAGGAAATTTTTTAGGATTTTTTGATTCATAGAAATATAGTTAGATTGTAGCAATAAATGGAAAACTAAATAGTACGAAGACGTGCACTCGGGTAATATAAACATAAAATGTTTAATATAAAAGAAACTACACCTACAGAAATTAACTAGATCCAATTAATAGATACCGAAAAACCGGTACACCGGTACAATTTGCGCCGGTATAAAAACCGGTATTTACCTAAAAATACCGGTTTTTCGGTAATAAAACGCAAGCACTAGTTGATACATGTTACACTT